CTGATCAGACCGCCCGAACTCGACTCACTGAAGACGATCGGTTCCACGGCATTTCCGCTTGATCCAAGGCTCTTTTTCTCGCACAACTTATCCTTGCTTAATTTATTCGAAACACCTTGAAAACTTCATAGAAGCTCCAGTCAATTTAAACGTTGGAAAACAATTTATGAGCCCGTTTCAGTACGGATGCTTCGGAATATTTGATGACGTCTCTGAGTTAAATATTACGATTTCTATACAAACAAACGACTATACTTCGTCAACTATCCTTCAAGGTATCGGCAGACCAGGGCATCAGAACCTTATATTGTGCGCTATACTCTTTAAATAGCCCAGAGGATCTCGGTGGGGGTACGATTCCACGATCTCTCTCAATCGCTTGGAGCGGTCCCGATACACTTTCTTCGCTTGCTTGGCGCGCCCATTAGCCTGGGAGTTCGCGATCGTGAACTCTGTTTTCGCTTGTTCAGCCTTCAAGTGCTTCACGAGTTTAGAAAAGGTTGGGTGCTGAGCGCCCAATCTCCTGGAGAAGGCAGAATGCCATCCTTCAACGCTATTGGTGGTGCGACTCATGGAGCAAATCGTTACGGTGTACAAATTCCACCAATCGAGTTTCATTTTCGGAGGATGACGGTGCCGGCCGATCCACGTCGCCTCGAGATAGTCCAGGAACTTCGCCAAGACCTCAGCGTTTCGTTTCACGAAGTCCGATTCCAGCACAATCTCGAATCTCTCTCGTACAGCTTCCTCTGGAACGTACGCAAGAGCCGCGAACATACGCATTTCGAGCGCGAAGTCGTCTGAGCTCATGTATTTCTCTCGTAGATCTGAATCGGCTTGGATATGCCGCCACAGGGACTGGTTGAAATGAAAGCCGCATCCGACGATGCCAGCCGACGGGAACGCCGCTTCCAATGTCTTAATCATCGCCAACTCGAAGTCGACATGGATAGCCTGAGGGTCATACCCGTCTAAGGAGTCCACTATAACATCCACGAGTCGACCATAGGTCGAAGCTTTCTTGTCGGGCAACAAAGCGTAGAGAACCGGAACTACGTTCCCTTCAATTAGCTTGACGTGAATGGAGTACAACTGTGTGAACATTAGTGGGGCAACCTTAAACGTGCCATCGACAAACTATTCAGGACACTCGCGAAGGAGCGATAAATTTTGACTGGTTGCAAAGACGATTATCCTGTCTGGATCTTCTTCTCCGGAGTCGAAGTGCAAAAACAAATCGTCCTTCAAAGTCATCTTATCAGAGTCTGATATTCTGAGGTCGGTTCGAGTCCTCCCGGGATTTCCTAGATTCTGCTCGGTCTTCTTCCGTGCGTAGTCCACTTTTTTTCGCAGCAGATGAAGGTTCGGTAGACGGCCAATGACTGCCTCTGATCTCAACGTACCGACCAAGGAATCGACAAGCAACGAAGTCTTGTATTCGCTGGGGGCGGCTCGAGCTGTTCTTTCGAGTTCGTTTAGCTTTCTCCGAACTGTCACGTCTAGATTGTCGGGAGAGTGTTCATGGACCGGGACGACCTGTTTGGAGTTGAGGCGAGATGAGTGATAGGTCACCGAGCCGTGACTTTGGGGTATATGAGATGCCCTTCGAATCCGGACGGATTAGTGTTCTTACCCCGAGCTTATCATCGACGATTTCGATGCGCGCATTGCAGTCTTTCGAAAGACATCGCCACTTCTTACGATCTCTTCGGTAGAGATACCCGCTAACGACGAGAAGGGGCTTGCCTTTCGTTGACTCGATGAATTCGTACGACATTTCGAAATTTCCAAGCACAAAATGGCGACCCGCAGAGAGCAGTGACCAGCTGTGACTCGTGATTTTGTGGAATAGAAAATCGAAACCACTGAACCGTGGAAGCAAGGATGCCGATCATCGTCGCCGAGTCGAGTTCGGGCGGTCTGATCAGCGAACATTTTCCGTCCTCCGAAATCTTCTCTTCTCGGTGTATTATGAACTTGAACTCGTGCCGCTTTGTTTTACTGCGAAAGTCCATGCGCGCAAGTCGGACTTGCGCTCAAATTGATCGCGCTCATATTGATTGCGCTTGAATCGATCGCGCTCATATTGATCGCGCTCAATTTGAATCCGCGCTCAATTCGGATCTGCGCTCAAGTCGGATCTGCGCTCAAATTGGATCTGCGCTCAAGTTGGATTCGCGCTCAAATTGGATCCGCGCTCAAATCGGAGCTGCGCGCAAATCGACTTGCGCGCAAATCGGGGCGCACCTCTCGGAGCCGTGTTGGATCCCGAAATGAAAAATATCTCGAGAATCAAAGCAGAGATACCGGGTGGGAATGCTGCGGACTTTCTACCGAAAGCTATCTATGAGGATACGGATATGGCGGACGAACATGAGGATGATGTTTCCCGAAGATCTTCCCTAGTGACGAAGAACACCGCTTCTCACGCTCCTGCTGAGAGACTGGCCGAGTGGGTCGCTCGCTACGTCGCCCTCCCGGTAAAATTGAACGAAACAGAATGCGGCGACGACAAAATTCTGCAATGGTGGCAGAAGAACGTCACAGTACTCCCCAATGTGTCGGAGCTCGCGCGAATCGTCTTGTCGATTCCAGGCACGTCGGCCGAGATCGAAAGAAGATTCTCATCCGCAGAAACCTCATGAAAGGGAAACGCCGCTTGATGGATCCGTCGAATATGACTAAAACTCTATTCATACATGACGATAAGGAACTTTTCGAGTTGTCCTAACTTAATAAAGAAAGAAGCAAGTTGTGTTCTCAAGTACTCTTATTCTGAATGCGGGAAACCTTTCCGCGGCGCGCCGTGGGTCTATCGGATCGCCGAAAATCGCCACGGCGTCCGCCGCCGCCGCCTGCTTTTTCGCCCGTCGCCGCCGCCGATGAAAATTCTTCAGCGCACAGCTCTGCGCTCGATGCCTCCGCTACCGGTTGTCCCGCGAACTTTTTCTGGAATTCTACTACCTGCTCGGTCTCGATTTTTCGGAACAAGGGCTTCGGCTCATTGAGCGGATGGTTGCCTGCTACCAGGGGTCGGAATTCGTCCTCGAGCACCAATCTCTCAATATTGAGCTGCCTTCGGAGCTCAGCCGCCGTCTTGGGCATGAATGGTTCGAGGCAACCTGCGACCAGAGCACAGATCTGAATTCCGATGTACACTATGGTTTTACTGCGACCGATGGTCTCCTTGTTTTTGACTTTTTCCCAGGGTTTGGACGCTTGGACGTACTGGTTGCCGGCTTTCGAGATCATGAGAACAGCACGGAGGGCGTCTCGGATGTGCAGGTTTTCAAAATTTTCCAGGAATTCCTGATAGTACCGTGCGACCTGGGCCAGAACGTTCTTATCGGTATCTTCCAGTTCCCCCTCGCTCTCGGGAACGCGATTCTCGAAGCGCGCGCAGGCAAACGACAAGCACCGGAAGATGAAGTTACCCAAGTTGTTCAGAAGTTCTGAGTTGTTTTTTGTCTGGAGATCGACCCAGCTGAAGGAAGTGTCTTGGTTCTCGGGTCTCATGTACATCATGTAGAACCTCCAAACGTCCGAGGGTATGCCAGTTTCCGCGGCTTGATCCCCGAAGACCCCTACACCCCGGGACTTCGAGAACTTCTTGTCTTCGTAATTGAGGTATTCGGTGGCTACAACGTGATTGACTTTCGTAAACTTCTCCCCGCTGCCGATTTGGCACATTGGAAAAACTATAGCATGGAAAGGCACATTGTCTTTGCCCATGAACTGGAAGAGTTCCACCTTCTCTGGGTTTCTCCACCATTTTTCCCACTGATCGGTGTAAGTTGCCGTGATGGACATGTATCCGATACAGGCATCGAACCACACGTAGAATACTTTCGATTCGTAGCCCGCCAGCGGAACGGGGACACCCCATTTCATGTCTCGAGTGATGCATCGGGGTTTCAAGCCGTCTCTCAGCCACGAATTCGTGATGACTTTAGCAGATTGCGTCCACTTCCCACTATCCGAAGACTTCTTCTGCCACTCACGGAACTGGGAATCGAGCTTCGGCATGTCTAGGAAGAGATGCCTCGAAGTTTTCACCGTGGGAGAACTCTTGCATATCTTACACCTGGGATCCTTCAGCTCTATGGCATTGATCAGTTTCGAGCATTTATCGCACTGATCGCCTCTGGCGTCTTCGTAACCGCAGAACGGACAAGTCCCCTCGACGAAACGATCGGCCAGAAATCGAGGGCACGAACCACAGTACAGCTGATCGACGGTGTCCTCAGAGAAATTCCCGTTGCCGTGGAGCTTCAGGAATAAATTCTGGACGATTTCCGTTTGTTTCTCGGTTGACGTTCGTCCGAAAATATCGAAATCGATATCGAACCACCGGTAGATCTCGCTGTGCTGAGTGTTGAACTTGTCGCAGAGCTCTCGGGGGGTGCACTTCACTTCCAGAGCCTTGGTTTCTGTCGCCGTCCCGTACTCGTCGGTCCCGCCGACGTAAACGCAGTTGTAGTCTCGCATACGACAGAACCTACAGAAAACGTCAGCACTGAGAACACTGCCGACAATATTGCCCAGATGCGGCACGTTGTTCACGTAGGGAAGAGCTGTGGTGATCAGAACGTTACGTCGATTTTCGGACGGCAGAGCTGGCTTCTTGTGCTCGTGCACCGGTACGCCCCCGATCTTCGTTTTCCACAGCTCGATCAATTTGAAGAAGGCCTCCGAATCCTGATTGTACTTCTGCTCTTCAGCGTTCTGCTCCGTGGAATTCACCGACTGGAGGATCTTGGAAACGTCACCTAGGGCGGCTCTCTCGAGGGACTTGTCGTCTATGTACATACCGGCCAAGCACTCAGCAACACAAGCCTGAGGGAGAATGTGCTTGAAGTTCCGTTCGAAATCCGCGTAATTCGGAGGGAAGAAATCACAGCTGAAGTCTTTCTTCGTTCTGAGATAACTCAAGGTGGAGCAAATCACAAGGTGTCCCAACGAGTTCGTCGGTGGAGCTGGCTCGAAACTCGGTCGGAACTCGACGTTCTTCCCGAGAAGGATCCCGGCAACGAACGGTCTCACTACGCCACTTTCGTACGTCAACCACTTATCATCCTCTTCGGTCACTTGCTTTCCCGCTTGACGCCAAATATATCGGCATATGGAGTTCGAGGAGAACAACTG